TGACACAGTCAAAAAAACTCAGACAGAAACTGTTTTTGTCGCGTCTGGCTTAGCTCTCTCGCGCTCTGAGGGAGATAGTTGTTTCTGTTTTCGTTTCCTCAAGTCAAACACTGATCGTTTGCTTGAGTTAAATGAAGTAACGGTAAGTTGCGTTTGTATGGGTAATCACGCGCGATTGCTGCGTTCTTTTTGTATGTATGTATGCGTGTATTTACATGCACACGAAGGCAAAAACATTTTCTGCTGAGTTTGTTAGTCAAAGTGTTTCTTGCTGAGAGGCTTTGTGTGAGAGAAAATCGTGTTAGTTTTACGCGACACTCATGTGAGWGCGTCACACGAATGAGTCATCGCACTGCGTCTGAGCGAAACAGATGCTGAAGAAAAACAGAGAGTGACGCTCAGAGAGAGACGTGTCTACACAATTTTTTTTTGAGTATGATGCGAGAAAGAGAATAAACGAAAAAACGCTCAACTCTCATTTGCAAGCTCTGATTAAAATCATAAATATATTAAAGAAAAATTAAGGTATAACGAATTATAATAATATATTAAATACTAATACTACAAATTTAATCAATCATTATGTTATAATCTTTCATGTTATACATAACACACCAAGCTTAGATAGCCAGTCTTTTATTTAAGGTTAGCTTTTATTTTTTATCAATTCTAGCTTGCAAATAAAAAGTAATTACATATATTAGACACCACAAAATTAATTCATGTACTAACGGAGCACTTCCTTAAAGGCAAGCCCGCACTTAATATTCGGATATACCCACGTTGCAGCAGCATTCCCACCTCTGCCCATCATCTTGCCATAATATGTGATTTAGCTAGTTATCGCTGTGGCTTCTGCTGTCGTCATTTCATGAACCTAAAACAAAATCCGTCTTAAGTATCTTGAGCATAATTTTAATTGCAGCTGCACAACTTTGTTGGCTTAAGCAGCTTCTAGTATTGTCTTTGTGAGTCCGATTTTTGTTGCTAATCAAACGTAAATGTGTGTGTGTGTGTGTGTGCCACGCCCCGACTGGCTAGGCAAGCAAACAAAAGACTCAGGCAACGAACTTGGGCAGCTGGTGAAAATCAACTAATATTCATATTGGCAGCAACAGAGAAACGCATTACAATGTTGAGTTGTGCGAGTGTATGTGCATGTGTGTGTGTGTGTGTGTGCCACTTGACTTGTGGAATTGAGTTGGGTGTGTGTGTGTGTGCGTTGCAGCGTTGCAGCTTACAGTCAAATGCACTTCGACTCCGTCCGCACGCATCTGCAACTCCATTTGCAGCTCCAACTCTTTGGCATCTTTTCTATTTGCATTGGATGGAGCTGCTGCCAGTTTTGCTGCGAGTTAATGCTGATGCGGCTGCCGCTTCTCCTGCTTCTGCTGCTGTTGCTGCTGCTGCTGCTGCTGCTGCTACCGCTGACCATTTTGGTCATAAACATTTGCGTAATGGATTTTTTCATATTTTGTTGGCCGCTGCGAACACACAAAGTAAATTAATTACGAGCTGCTGAGGCGGCGGTGGCGACTGCTGCTGCTCGGCCAACATATTTGCACGCTGGAAAATTCTTGCAGACACAAAAAGTTATAAATGCCTAAAAATAAATAAGCCAAAGCCATGGCTAAACATGGCCAAAATGCAAAAACAGAAGCACAGCCAGCAAATTAGCAAAAGCCCAAAAAGCATTTGCCGCGCTCCCAACACACATACACCTATACATACACACATTCGTTCACAGAGATGGACAAAATGTAATTACAGCAACTAACATCAGCAGCAGCAGCATTGTTGTTGCTGTTGTTGTTCGAGTTGTTGCTGTTTGCAATTTTTGTTGGTTTCGCGGTTGTAGCCATAGCCGGTTGCAATTTTTCACATGCGTAGCCAGTTTCTGTTAGCTCTGTCCGAGTGTACGTAAAAGTTGTTCCGTCTCTGCTCGACGTTGTTGTTGTTGCTGTTGCTGTGGTTGCTGCTGTTGCTGTGGTTGCTCCTTGTTGGAATTTTTGCTCGTGTGGTGTACATGTTGCGGTTGATAACTCAATTAGAATGTTAAATTTATGTTCGCCACAAGAAATTAACTTGCAATTAGAAAATGCTGGCAACAAAACGAAAGACTTAGGACACGAACTTGATATGCTAACATTTTCGCTTATACGTATCTAGTTTTCCTTTTTGCCATTCGCCAGCATAGCGCACTTGGTAATTAAGTAACGAAACAGAGAAAACAAATTGATTCAATTTAGCAAATGGACAAAAAGGACAGACGAGCAGACGAACAGACGGACAGACGGACAGACAGCTGCAGCTGATGATTTGTGTTACATAATTGGCCATGGCCATGGCCATAGTTTTTAGGGCAGCTGGCAAAGTTTGCTGCCCAGCCCAGCCCAGCCTCGCCCCACTCCCATTCCCATTCCCATTCCAGCGTCGTTTGGGCTAGACAAGTCTATTGGCCTGGCCAAAAACTAATGATGATGATGCACTGCACGCATTTGCACTATTTATAATTTCGCAAAGGCAGCCCAGACAACAGCCAGCACCGGCACATGTGCCCGGCGAGTGCCAAAAGATCAATGATCAATCCCAAAGCCAGCAAGCCTGCAAGCTGCGGCTTGATGACTTCACTAGCTTAGACTCCGACTCAGACTCCGACTCAGACTCAAACTCAGAGTCAGAGTCGAGTCGACAGACAACTTCATTTATTTGCAGATACATTTCAGGCGCCCCCAAAATGCAGCCTCTCATCCTGTGGCAGGCATCATTTGGAGATTTTGTTTGTGCCTTTTGGCAAACAACAACTCTCTTTGATTTGGTGGGCCGTGCTGGTCGTGTTGCAGCGTGTGTGTAATCAGTTACATGGCGAATGCGGCTGGCGATTTGCTTTCATGATTTATGCGCGAAATTAGCGAACTGAAAGTCGTTGCTGCAACACACAAATGTTGCACAAATGACTCAGGCAACGAACTTGAACGAACTTAAGAAC